AACAAAAACCAACAACCTTTTAACAGTCAAATAACGATTTTTTTGCCCTCAACAACAGTTGTCCGGCCAGTAATGGCAGCAACATTGACACTTAATGTTGAACGCAAAATTATAAAGAATTTGCTATTAATTTTTAATTAAAAAATAAATTTATTAATTAAAAAAAAAAAATAATTAACCATTTATAGGGTTAAAATCATTAAAAAATAAATAATTTAATAGTGAACATTTTTTGTTGTTTTATATGTATATGTATGTGTTTCTGTAACATAATTGTAACATTTATATTATATTGAATAATTAATTGGAAATTAATTTAATTATAAAAAACAAAAAGGGAAAAAAATTACAAAAAAGTGCAACTCATTAAAAATTCATAGCATTGTTTAAGTGTTTTTTACCTACAACCAACAGGCAATAAATTAAATTATACAAAAAATATATGTATGAAAAAAAAAAAAAAATAACACAACTAAAGTGAAATAATTATAGGTGTACTAAAATACCTGACCGGCATTTTTATACGAACAAAAAAATAAGGCTGGGTCTAAGACAACTTACACTTGTTTTAATAAGAAATTATTCCAACAATAACTTACAAAAATACCGCTAACACACAGGTTTGTTTAAAATCCTCATGGAATGTCATTTATTTGTAATCATATAAATCGTTTAAGACGTATGATTAATATTAATTAAGTTATTTGAAAAATCTTGATTAAACAAGTATACAGGGCGTATGATGAATGTTGATTTAAGGCTAATATAGTAAATCAATTGAATAGCAGTAAAATCAATCAATTTCGTTATTGTAAATCATTAGAACTAGAACAGAATGTGTAGAAATTTATATAAATTAGATAACTAAAGATTTATATAAAAAACTGCTAATGTGAAACGGCTCTTTTGAACTAAATATGGTCATAAATTGTTCAATTTCCTTCTTATCCAGATAAAATGCTTTCGAGACAGATTATAGACAAGATAAACAATAGTCGAGACAAAATATAGCCGAAACAAACTACAGTTGAAAATGACTAAAGATATCAAATTAAGTTGAGACAATAGTTTCATTATGTGTAGTACATACAATAGTCTTTCTATAGCAGGAACTTGAGTATAACTATACCTTACCTAGAGTAGGGACTATAGTCTGGCTATAGTCTAGTCTATAGTCTAGTATATAGTCCAGTCTATAGTTTAGTCTATAGTCTAGTCTATAGTTTAGTCTAGGCTATAATGTAGTCTATTGTCTAGCCTATAGTATAGTCTATAGTGTAGTCTAGAGTGTAGTCTATAGTCTAGTCTATAGTATAGCCTATAGTGTAGTCTAGAGTGTAGTCTATAGTGTAGTCTATAGTGTTGTCTATAGTGTAGTCTATAGTCTAGTCTATAGTGTAGTATAGTTTATAGCCTAGTATAGTTTATAGTCTAGTCTATAGTCTAGTCTAGTCTATAGCCTAGTATATAGTCTAGTCTATAGACTAGTATAGTCTATAGCCTAGTGTATAGTCTAGTCTATAGTCTAGTCCATAGTCTAGTCTATAGTCTAGTCCATAGTCTAGTCTATAGTTTGGTCTATAGTCTAGTCTATAGTCAAGTCTATAGTCTAGTCTCTAGTCTACTCTATAGTCTAGTCTATAGTCTAGTCAATAGTCAAGTCTATAGTCTAGTCTATAGTCTAGTCTATAGTCTAGTCTAAAGTCTAGTCTATAGTCTAGTCTATAGTCTAGTCTATAGTCTAGTCTATAGTCTATTCTATAATCTATTCTATAGTCTAATCTATAGTCTAGTCTATAGTGCAGTCTGTAATCTAGTCTATAGTCTAGTCTATAGTCTAGTCTTTAGTCTAGTCTATAGTCTAGTCTTTAGTCTAGTCTATAGTCTAGTCTTTAGTCCAGTCTTTAGTCTAGTCTCTAGTCTAGTCTTTAGTCTAGTCTTTAGTCTAGTATATAGTCTAGTATACAGTCTAGTATATAGTCTAATCTATAGTCTAGTCTATAGTCTAGTCTATAGTCTAGTCTATAGTCTAGTCTATAGTCTAGTCTATAGTCTAGTCTATAGTCTAGTCTATAATCTAGTCTATAGTTTAGTCTATAGTCTAGTCTATAGTCTAGTCTATAGTCTAGTCTATAGTCTAGTCTATAGTCTAGTCTATAGTCTAGTCTATAGTCTAGTCTATAGTCTAGTCTATAGTCTAGTCTATAGTCTAGTCTATAGTCTAGTCTATAGTCTAGTCTATAGTCTAGTCTATAGTCTAGTCTATAGTCTAGTCTAGTCTAGTCTATAGTCTAGTCTATAGTCTAGTCTATAGTCTAGTCTATAGTCTAGTCTATAGTCTAGTCTATAGTCTAGTCTATAGTCTAGTCTATCGTCTAGTCTATAGTCTAGTATAGTCTATAGTCCAGTCTACAGTCTAGTTTATAGTCTAGTCTATAGTCTAGTCTATAGTCTAGTCTATAGTCTAGTCCATAGTCTAGTCTATAGTCTAGTCCATAGTCTAGTCTATAGTCTAGTCCATAGTCTAGTCTATAGTCTAGTCCATAGTCTAGTCTATAGTTTGGTCTATAGTCTATTCTATAGTTTAGTTAGTCTATAGTCTAGTCTATAGTCTAGTCTATAGTCTAGTTAGTCTATAGTCTAGTCTATAGTCTAGTATATAGTCGAGTCTATAGTATAGTCTAGAGTGTAGTCTATAGTGTAGTCTATAGTGTAGTCTATAGTGTCGTCTATAGTGTAGTCTATAGTGTTGTCTATAGTGTAGTCTATAGTCTAGTCTATAGTGTAGTATAGTTTATAGTCTAGTCTATAGCCTAGTATAGTTTATAGTCTATAGTATAGTCTATAGTCTAGTCTATAGTCTAGTCTATAGTCTAGTCTATAGTCTAGTCTATAGTCTAGTCTATAGTCTAGTCTATAGTCTAGTCTATAGTCTAGTCTATAGTCTAGTCTATAGTCTAGTCTATAGTCTAGTCTATAGTCTAGTCTATAGTCTAGTCTATAGTCTAGTATATAGTCTAGTCTATAGACTACTATAGTCTAGTGTATAGTCTAGTCTATAGCCTAGTCTATAGTCTAGTCCATAGTCTAGTCTATAGTCTAGTCAATAGTCTAGTCTATAGTCTAGTCTATAGTCTAGTCTATAGTCTAGTCTGTAGTTTAGTCTATAGTCTAGTCTATAGTTTGGTCTATAGTCTAGTCTATAGTTTGGTCTATAGTCTAGTCTATAGTCTAGTCAGTCTATAGTCTAGTCTATAATCTAGTCTATAGTCTAGTCTATAGTCCAGTCTATTGTCTAGTCTATAATCTAGTCAATAGTCTAGTCTATAGTCTAGTCTATAGGCTATTCTATAATCTATTCTATAGTCTAATCTATAGTCTAGTCTATAGTCTAGTCTATAGTCTAGTCTATAGTCTAGTCTTTACTCTAGTCTTTAGTCTAGTCTTTAGTCTAGTCTTTACTCTAGTCTTTAGTCTAGTCTTTAGTCTAGTCTTTAGTCTAGTCTTTAGTCTAGTCTCTAGTCTAGTCTTTAGTCTAGTCTTTAGTCTAGTATATAGTCTAGTATACAGTCTAGTATATAGTCTAGTCTATAGTCTAGTCTATAGTATAGTCTATAGTCTAGTCTTTAGTCTAGGCTATAGTCAATAGTCTAGTCTATAGTCTAGTCTATAGTGTAGTCTATAGTCTAGTGTACAGTCTAGTCTATAGTCTAGTTTATAATATTGTATATAATCTTTTCTATAGTCTTGTCTATAGTCTAATCTATAGTATAGTCTACAGCCTAGTCTAAAGTATTGTCTACAGTCTAGTCTAAAGTGTAGTGTATAGTCTATTTTATAGTCTAGAATGAGTATATTTGAGACTATAGTCTGACCATCATCTATACTAGGCACCATAATAGAGTTAAACGGTCGTATATATTGGACTTAAGTATGCAGTAATTTAATTTGTTGATGCTGCATCAAATTGGCAAAATTAAACAAGTCCGTCTATTTGCCTCAATATTTAACACAATCACAAAAATCATTGTCCAGTTCGTTGTAATATTTTGTTTTGCATATCGCAGTTAATTAGCAAACAATAGTACTGTAGATGGACATGTTAAACATGACACAAAATTACAATACACACTTACCACAGCAAGTACATGAGACTAGACGTGGCTAAGAGTAAAATAAAACAGAAAACATGCTCAAGCATGCACGCAGAACAAAACCACTATACAGCATAAATATACCCACAAAAACACACACACAAATACTATGAAGCATATGAAAGCTCTATCTCTCATTTTCGCTATAAATACCGTTATGTGTAATATGAAAACAACGTTTCAAGTTTGTGTGTTTTTTTATGTTTAACATGTTGTTACATATTTACCGTTTTCAAGGGGGGAATAAGTGTAAGAGAGGGAGGTAAAGTAGGGAGTTTATGGCAATAAGGTGTGTTTGCCTGTATAAACGTGTTTGTTAAGTATTGTTGTATGTAGTGATTAAATGAAAAACTAGTGTTTACATTTAACTTTTTTGTCGACTCTTTATGCTTTGTACGCTTCTTTTACAATATGTTTTTCTTTTGCCTTTAACCTTTACTACTATAAAATATAGTGGGTCTCCTGCCGTTATTATTGCTACTCGTAATACTATTACAGTACGAGTTTGAGAAAATAAAATAAAATGTTTACAAACTACTCATACAGTGTTGTGATTAAGTGTCTGTTGTATGTAGTGTGTTTGCAGGCGAGTCCGTTTCCGCTGTGCGTTATTAAGGAAAATAGATAACATGATGTTAAGGAATTTATAAAATGTTTGTCAAAGTACTTAATAAGTTAAAACTTTAAATAAATGTAACTGCTAGTTAAATATTAGGGAGTTTCTCTACACCGAACATAGTCGATTGACAACTGCTTAGTAATTAATATTAATCATACGTCACCATATTACTTTATTGAATATTTACAAAAAATTAATGAAAAATATATTTTCATTCTAAAACTGCTTTAAAATTTACCAAATATTACTTTAGTGGCTCTAACAGTTCCCTCACTAACATCGCTCAGTTTAAATTGCACCAAAATTGTGATATAAACTAAAATGATCAAAGTGACCTAAAGTAAATGAAAATAAAACAAATAATTTCCAATACCGAAACCGAAAATGTTTAAACTTAATTTTCTTACTTTACCATAACTCTTTAGATCAATATTCATATAACCACTGCAGGTGAATTTCAAACGTTGATGCATCAATTGTAAAGCATATTCTCTAACGTTTAAGATCATTTCTTTATCTTGGGGATATAGTTTGAAGTTGAGCAATAATTGGGAAAATTTTTGATACTAAAATGGAAACATTTTAAAGTGGTTTTATAACTCGAAAAATTTTGTAAACAAACTCACCTCGTTAATGCATTTTTGCGCTAAATAGCTTAGTAATAACATGTTGCTTAAAAGCACGCTAATGAAAATTAAACGGACTGAAAAGAAATTATTGAATTACACTAGAAAAGTTTTTTAATTTAGCCTATATGTAGTCTCTAGTTTGGCCTAAAGTCTATAGTCTAGTCTTTAGTCTAGTCTATAGTCTAGTCTTTAGTCTAGTCTATAGTATAGTCTATAGTCTAGTCTATAGTCTAGTTTATAGTCTAGTCTATAGTATAATCTATAGTCTAGTTTATAGTCTAGTCTATAGTCTAGTCTATAGTCTAGTCTATAGTCTAGTCTATAGTCCAGTCTATAGTCTAGTCTATAGTCTAGTCTATAGTCTAGTCTATAGTGTAGTCTATAGTCTAGTCTATAGTCTAGTCTATAGTCTAGTCTATAGTCTAGTCTATAGTCTAGTCTATAGTCTAGTCTATAGTCTAGTCTATAGTCTAGTCTATAGTCTAGTCTATAGTCTAGTCTATAGTCTAGTCTATAGTCTAGTCTATAGTCTAGTCTATAGTCTAGTTAGTCTATAGTCTAGTCTATAGTCTAGTCTATAGTCTAGTCTATATTCTAGTCTGTAGTCCAGTCTATAGTCTAGTCTATAGTCTAGTCTACAGTCTAGTCTATAGTCTAGTCTGTAGTCTAGTTTATAGTCCAGTCGATAGTATAGTCCATAGTCTGGTCTATAGTCTAGTCTATAGTCTGGTCTATAGTCTGGTCTATAGTCTGGTCTATAGTCTAGTCTATAGTCTAGTCTAAAGTCTAGTCTATAGTCTAGTCTATAGTCTAGTCTATTGTCTAGTCTATAGTCTAGTCTATAGTCTAGTCTGTAGTCTAGTCTGTAGTCTAGTCTGTAGTCTAGTCTGTAGTCTAGTCTATAGTCTAGTCTATAGTCTAGTCTATAGTCTAGTCTATAGTCTAGTCTATAGTCTAGTCTATAGTCTAGTCTATAGTCTAGTCTATAGTCTAGTATATAGTCTACTCTATAGTCTAGTCTATAGTCTAGTCTATAGTCTAGTCTATAGTCTAGTCTATAGTCTAGTCTATAGTCTAGTCTATAGTCTAGTCTATAGTCTAGTCTATAGTCTAGTCTATAGTCTAGTCTATAGTCTAGTCTATAGTCTAGTCTATAGTCTAGTCTATAGTCTAGTCTATAGTCTAGTCTATAGTCTAGTCTATAGTCTAGTCTATAGTCTAGTCTAGTCTATAGTCTAGTCTATAGTCTAGTCTATAGTCTAGTCTATAGTCTAGTCTATAGTCTAGTCTATAGTCTAGTCTATAGTCTAGTCTATAGTCTAGTCTATAGTCTAGTCTATAGTCTAGTCTATAGTCTAGTCTATAGTCTAGTCTATAGTCTAGTCTATAGTCTAGTCTATAGTCTAGTCTATAGTCTAGTCTATAGTCTAGTCTATAGTCTAGTCTATAGTCTAGTCTATAGTCTAGTCTATAGTCTAGTCTATAGTCTAGTCTATAGTCTAGTCTATAGTCTAGTCTATAGTCTAGTCTAGTCTATAGTCTAGTCTATAGTCTAGTCTATAGTCTAGTCTATAGTCTAGTCTATAGTCTAGTCTATAGTCTAGTCTATAGTCTAGTCTATAGTCCTAGTCTATAGTCTAGTCTATAGTCTAGTCTATAGTCTAGTCTATAGTCTAGTCTATAGTCTAGTCTATAGTCTAGTCTATAGTCTAGTCTATAGTCTAGTCTATAGTCTAGTCTATAGTCTAGTCTATAGTCTAGTCTATAGTAGTCTATAGTCTAGTCTATAGTCTAGTCTATAGTCTAGTCTATAGTCTAGTCTAGTCTAGTCTAGTCTATAGTCTAGACTAGTCTAGTCTATAGTCTAGACTATAGACTAGACTATAGACTAGAATATAGACTAGACTATAGACTAGACTATAGACTAGACTATAGACTAGACTATAGACTAGACTATAGACTAGTCTATAGTCTAGTCTATAGTCTAGTCTATAGTCTAGTCTATAGTCTAGTCTATAGTCTAGTCTATAGTCTAGTCTATAGTCTAGTCTATACTCTAGTCTATAGTCTAGTATATAGTCTAGTCTATAGTCTAGTATATAGTCTAGTCTATAGTCTAGTCTATAGTCTAGTCTATAGTCTAGTCTATAGTCTAGTCTATAGTCTAGTCTATAGTCTAGTCTATAGTCTAGTCTATAGTCTAGACTATAGTCTAGTCTATAGTCTAGTCTATAGTCTAGTCTATAGTCTAGTCTATAGTCATAGTCTAGTATATAGTCTAGTCTATAGTCTAGTCTATAGTCTAGTCTATAGTCTAGTCTATAGTCTAGTCTATAGTCTAGTCTATAGTCTAGTCTATAGTCTAGTCTATAGTCTAGTCTATAGTCTAGTCTATAGTCTAGTCTATAGTCTAGTCTATAGTCTAGTCTATAGTCTAGTCTATAGTCTAGTCTATAGTCTAGTCTATAGTCTAGTCTATAGTTTAGTCTATAGTCTAGTCTATAGTCTAGTCTATAATGTAGTCTATAGTCTGGTATATAGTCTAGTGTGTAGTCTAGTCTATAGTCTTGTCTATAGTCTGGTCTATAGTCTAGTCTATAGTTAATCTATAGTCTAGTATATAGTCTAGTCTATAGTCAAGCCTATAGGCTAGTGTATGATCCAGTCTATGGTCTAGTCTTTGGTCTAGTCTATGGTCGTCTAGTCTATAGTCTAGCCTATAGTCTAGTCTAAAGTCTAGTCTATGGTCGTCTAGCCTATAGTCTTGTCTATTTTCTTGTCTATTGTCTAGTCTATAGTTTAGTCCATAGTCTGGTATATAGTCTAGTGTTTAGTCTAGTATATAGTCTAGTAAATAGTCTAGATTAATGGCTACTTAATATTTTAATAAAACCACTTACGTAGTTGATATATTAATCTTGTCTCATATACATACTGCACATAGGCCCAGCTAGTGGTTGTCAGTATATCGATACCATCGTAAAAGAATAGTAGTAAAATGGGCCATGCAAAATACTGCTCCAGTTTGTTAGCAAAAGTCCAAATTTCCATTAAATCAGTTTGGTTTTGCCTTAAGGTTTTTGAATAAATTCTGTCTAAAGATACTTTTCTTTTATCTTCTTTAGCAATATTGTCCTTTAGTTCATTTAAGTTTTCCAGAAGATTTTTCAAATAAACATATATTATTTGTAGATATATGCCATATTCCAGAGATTTCAGTTGTAGTGATAACATTAAAAATGATACCAATAATTTACCCAACAACACCATTTCAATGGATATTAAGTGATGGTTTAAATAAATCAAAAATATTAGCAAAATAATTGAACTTAAACCAATGGTTAAGAATAAACGTTTACGTAAGATTTGAGGCTTTAGCATATGGGGGTATATGCTTAGCAAGTGATGTTCCAGTTTGTTAATAAACTGTAAAATATCCACAAGATTTTATTGCAGAACCAAGTTTTATATTCGATTAGTAATTGTATAACGATCAGGGTAATGTTATGTATATAAGCAAATAGTTTCGTCAAAAAGTCTAGATTGTGTTTATGAGTTAGTTTGGCAACTATATAGTTGTGTCTGTAAGTGATCCATGTAGCGCAGGCTAAGAGCAGTAGATTATATATTAAGTATACTAACAGTACTATATAATATTTAATATCTTTCTCTCGGCGAAAGATTAAAAATGGTGGAAAATTCACACCAAATATGCAAAAAATCCATTGGTATATTTTCAGTTCTTTTAATAAAATGCCACTTTCCAAGTTTCCGCTCATTTGGGTGTAAATTTAAAAAAGCACTTTAATCAACAACTGTCTAAGAAATAATGTAAATTATTGTCAAGTTGTTTAACGTTAAAGTCTTTTAAGATTGCAATCTTTATTTGACAAGTTAAAGTTAAACTAATTTCAAAAGTCCATTAGGCGTATGAGTAATATTAATTTTAGCTGCAAAACGTTTTTACAGAAAATGCTAAATATAATTTTAGAATTTTTGAAATATAACCTTTGTGGCTCGAACTACGACCTCATTTACATCAGTTAATTTAAATTGCACCAGTATAACGGCATAAGCCAAAATTACAAAACATGTCTAAAGTAGTTAAAAAAATATTTAATACCAAAAACAATATCTAAACATTCCTTTACATACCTTCCCATAATACTTCAAATCAATATTCATATAACCCTTGCATGTAAATAAGATGGGTTGATGCATCAACTGCAAGGCATATTCCTTTATGACCATAATCATAGGCCAATCATGGCGATATAACTTAAAGTTGTGTAATAAATGTGAGAATTGTTGATACTAAAGTTTGAAATGTAATAAGTATTTTGCTACAAATCACATAAGAAACAGAAACTTACTTCATTTATACATTCTTGTGTTAAATAGGATAACAGTAGCATATTGTAAGTTATTATACAAATGCAGCCAAAACGAACTGAAATGAAAATGTAAAATACTTCAGTATCTCTACATTGATGATAGTTCAAGTTCTGTTTTGGTTAAGTTTTAATTACGTTCTCGTTTTGTTCTAGTTCAGTTCTAGTTATATTCTAGTTCTGTTCCAGTTATATTCCAGTTCTGTTCTAGTTTTGTTCTAGTTCTGTTCTAGTTCTGTTCTAATTCTGTTCTTGTTCTGTTCTTGTTCTGTTCTAGTTCTGTTCCAGTTCTGTTCCAGTTCTGTTCTAGTTCTGTTCTAGTTCTGTTCTAGTTCTGTTCTAGTTCTGTTCTAGTCTAGTTCTGTTCTAGTTCTGTTCTAGTTCTGTTCTAGTTCTGTTCTAGTTCTGTTCTAGTTTGTTCTAGTTCTGTTCTAGTTCTGTTCTAGTTCTGTTCTAGTTCTGTTCTAGTTCTGTTCTAGTTCTGTTCTAGTTCTGTTCTAGTTCTGTTCTAGTTCTGTTCTAGTTCTGTTCTGTTCTGTTCTTGTTCTGTTCTTGTTCTGTTCTTGTTCTGTTCTTGTTCTGTTCTAGTTCTGTTTTCAGTTCTGTTCAGTTCTGTTCTAGTTCTGTTCTAGTTCTGTTCTAGTTCTG